CTGCATAAAAGGAACCGGGCAACTCAATTAGCCAATTCGGTCTCTTAGTTCATGGAGTATAATATCATAATAATATGTAAATTGTGCTTTTCAACTTCCTAAAAATTCCATGAATTATTTCCAGATAATGAGTCAATAATATTTAATATAGTTCTGGATCATGCCATCGCCTTGGTAGTAGTGCATTTATAATAAATTGTTCCATAACAATAGCAATAATATCAATGCAGTATTGCATCTTTATTTGAATATCATAAAGTTCTGGATCTTAATTCCCATGTTAATCATCTTCTTGATTAACTAATTTAAAAAAAATAGACTTTTAGTTTGTATAAGACATTAGGTTTGAAGAACGCATCCAATTTGAAGGAACACATCCAATATTGATTATCTCAATCATTTATTAAAAAGCAACACATCCAATTGCTCATCAAAGAATACCTCCATTATCATTACATGGGAACCCATCCATTGTTCATTACGTGGGAAAGCATCCAAGTTCTTCATTATGTGGGAACATATGTAATAATTATATAGTCAGTAATACCTTTCAGTTCCAAATCTTTTTACATTTTCCTTCCTCAAAAACCTTTATTTAGTAATTCCTACTCAATAATTTTTAGTTTGGAATTAATATTAAATTGTATTTATTCTTCTTTTATATTAATCCCTTTATCTAAATAATTTTAGTTCACTGAAATATAATACAACTAACAGATACTATTCAGCTGCCTTCAGGACAACTCCACTAGCCGTTTCATGGTCGGTCAACTGAGTCTTAACTTAGAACTGGGTCAAAGATGGACATCAAGGACTTGTACCTACATCTATTTGCTTCGTCAACATCAAACCCAATCAAATTTCAACATATATATACATATATATATATATATAGATTCCAACAAAACTATAAAAGCTATTAATCTACCTTATTAAATGAACCCAATGGCCCAAGAATAATATAGTAACACCTCTCATCATCACCAACCTAACCTTAAACTAAAGATTCAACTTCTCTCATGATCAATATAATATAACCACAAGCATGCATAAACTCAAGTACCCAAATACACTCACATATCCTAGTGAGGGCTGTGTACATTCATGAACTACAAATTACTAAGGTTCAATGTGTATATCTATATGTAAATATGGATCTGCACATTCATGTGATTTTATTTATTTACTATTCCATTATATAATCAGTATCCTATAAATCATGATATGTATACCTGTGTAATCACATGTTCACTGTCAAGTACTAACTACACCTCCAAGTGCTCATACATGATGTAGATAAATCCAACAAGAATCCAACCAACCTGGGTCTTCCTTCCATATTCAATGTAATTTTATAATATCAAGTAACTATACCACACATGTGGAGTGAAGTCTTGAACTCAATCATGAATTCAGTTACTTACAATCTATGTATATATTAATGAGATTATGCCCACACACATGTACCTACAAATAAGTGCGGAGTATGTGCATCTATTTACATATAAATACAATTTCCTATTATGTGACTACTCTCACGTAAACCCCACCTATATATATATTTTTTTGATAAGTAAAATTGTATAAAAGCACTCAAAAGGAGAGCGCATCCCAAGAGAACTACACAAGGCAAACCCCACCTATATAAATATGTAGTAATATATTCATCAAAGTTATCTACACTTCAGTACACAATTAACCACCAATTCCCAACAATAGCACTACTCCAAGTCAACATGGTTTCCATAGGCAACACGATACACGTAACTGATGCATACATAGTGCAAGAGATGTTCTTCTATATAAATATTTATCTAACAGTAATTCCAAACAACAACCAAACTGATACGTTACGGATTAAAACGTTAGCTAAGTTCGTAAACGATATCTTACAATACATGCATTAATCTATCGAACCATTCCGCTAATAGTTACAGAAGAAGGTAGAAGTAACTAGCCTGATTCAGTTAGTCTGCTTCTTCTGCTGTTAGTTCCCTTCTCTGATACAATCTTTTTTCTTCAATTCCTCTGTATTCTTTCTACCCAAGACTAATCAATCTCAGTTAATGAACATACTGTTAGCCTAAAATATTATACACCTGAAATTAAGCATACACTAGAATTCCACTTGCCTGAATATGCTAAAACTCTTCCTTTGTCTGCCTGGTCTCCTTCACAGACTTCATTCTTTTCTAGTCTTCCTTCCCTCTCTAACTCCTATGGAACAGATGATAGGGATCCAATTAGTAAACATTTTCTCCCAAACAAAGGTGAAACGTTGATATTTAACGATGCAAACTTGAGATTGAAGTGGCGATCGTGTGGGAGTAGGGAACGTGGGTAATTAAGGTTGTTACAGACAATGTTAGTTGATAAACATAAATCTTTATCTCTAATTTAAAATTTTATTTCATATCCCAATTTGAATTTAAATCAGATATATATTGTAGATGTTTGTATATATACATGTTACGGCAAACACAGTGAACCAAGAACAAATCACGAATCATGACAAAAAAGTAAACAAGCCACATACAAAGAACACAAAGATTTACATAGTTCGACACAAGTTGTGCTTATGTCCACGGTGAAGATCCGGCGAAAGTTTTCACTATGCGAAAAACAGAAGATTACAAGTTTCAGCCCCCAAACCCTAGCTCTTGCGCTCTCTCTCTTTCTGCGATTTTCAGTGTTCTATTGTTATCCCACTCCAAACCCTAAGTGCCCTTCTCTACTGCGCAACAAGAGAGTACTAATCAGGGTCCATGACCCGTAAGCGAAAAAAGGGTCATAAAATTTTTCTCGAGGCAGCGTCAACCAGGTCACGTCTACCCAGGCCACAACATCACATATTCATAGAGAGCAAATGATCTTGTAACAAAAGCAACTAAAAGTAAAATTGTTAACACTCACTATGGTTGAGAAAAAAAAAATACCGACCTTTCATTTCCTCTAAACTAGATTGCAAATGAGCCCTATTAGCCTCCAACATTCTGGATACATCCTAACCTAATGAACGATAATACCAATAAATTTTTTTTGACAATGACAAAAAAGAATTTATGAGGCCATGTCACATATAATGAGTTTCTTTGTGAAAAATAACACCAAAAGGATGGCTGACTTCAACTTTTTCCTCTCAAAACATTGCATATGAAGGACCAAAACTACATATATGGTACATAGTATAAAAGCAATCATAACATAGTGGTACAAGACTAGAAGAGCTATCAATTCTATGAAGCACGGATACGGATACGAGACACAGATACGACACGAATACGGCAACATGGCAAATCCAGAAAAATTAGGACACGAACACGGACACGTCGGGGACAAGGCAAATGATAAATATATATTTTTATATATATGATGCTGTACTTCAAAAAATTAAGAGTAATATTAGTTTTTACAAACTCATAATGAAAAAAAAAAATTGTGTTTTGCTGTGAAAAAGAAAGAATGACAAAAAAAAAGAAAAAAGAAAAAAGAAAAAGAGGATTAGGGTTTTGTTAGAATAAAAATTAGGCCTTAGTTAAAAATAAAGGTAAGAATCCATAGAAGAGAAAAAAAGTTCATGGGGAATAGAGGAAAAAGGAAAAAGGAACGCAAAAATAAATTTATTGAGAAAGGAAAAAAAGAAGTATCTAGGATTTGTGAAGAACAAGAAGAAGAAAGAAAAGAGGAAGAAGAAAAAGAAGAGAGAAAAGAGAAGAGAGAGATAGAGAGACCATCCACCGGTAGTTAAGCTTGGTTGGTGGGAGAACAAGAGAGTCAAAGATGATTGTGCAAGAGTTCGAACCTTGAACTAAAATACAAGGATAATATCTAATTGTTTTTCAAAACAACTTTTAAGTAATTATGTAATTACCATCATATTGCTAAAAGTTATTAAACAACTCCTAATATTTATACTTCAACTCAACATTGTTTCTAAAACTTTCTTAAAAATCCCCCAAGAATGGGACATGTGTGTCGGAAACGTATCCATGGCATGTCGGATGCGTGTCCCGATATTCAAGAAAATATAAAATATTCGGACACATTTTTTGGCATGTCCGAGGCGTGTCACCAACACGCACCCGACACAGATTTTTTGCCCTTTTAGGCGTGTCCGTGCTTCGTAGGCTATCATAACATTTAGTAGAAAGGATGTAGTAAGGGGGTTGATTAATTGTTAATACACAGAGAAAAATGTTTTACAAACCAAAGCACCAAAGTCGATCACGAGAGAGGCTGGTGGGCCCACAACACTATGGTGGTGTGGAGCAATCCCTTTTTGGATTCAAAACTTTGGTCAGCATATCATGACTCGTGTAAATCAGTAAATGAGATATTTGTTGGATGAAACCGCACATGATGCAAAGAAATCCTTTGCATTGTATAGTTACTAAAAGTCACTTCATTCTCAAATATAACTCAATGTTGTTGAACTTACAAGAACCTAAGTTAAATGTTTTTACATTTTGGGAGTGGGGGGGTTAAGAAACTAAACTAAAGGTTTGTCAAGAACAGATGGAAGGGGCATGTGAATGTTAGAATAAAATAATCTATAATGATGATATGAAGGGGTATGTGAATGTTTGCATCAAAAATTTAAGACCTGAAGTTTACTAATTATTTCTTTGGGAATTCTACTCAATCAAAATAAAGCATTCGACTTTTGGGTGTCTGTAAGGTGATCAGCTATTTAGTCTCATCTCTTTAGTTAATACAAGTTTACTTCCAATCAAATTAAAGCAAGAACAATATATGTTCTAAAAAGAAAATCAATAGAACCTCTGTAAAATTGTCTACAAACTCAAGCAGGGAAAAAGAAAGTGAACTCACAAATGCAACAGAGTAACCCGATTTCACATCTTTAAAATCCTCCACTTTGATTGAACTTAGATGCTTGAAAATCTAGCAAGAAATAATGCAAAAGTGCACGCAAATTATTACACTGATTAAGAATTAAATTCTTTAATAGCAGTTCAGTATAGTATAGGCAAGAGCAATACATTTTGGTCTTCTTCAATCAAAAGGTCACCAAGAGAAGGATGACTCAGAAACTGCACAAAAAATGCACAGGTCAGTAGGACAAAAGGGTTCTGAAAACAACACCAAATACATAACAGTAAGCTTGTGTATCTCATTGTAGTATTGTAAATCTGCTCTACTTCCAAGACTTTATCACTGGCCTCTTCATTGATCTGGAACTAAACAGATAAACAATGAATGACATGTTTAGACCATTTACCTTTTACAGCTCATGAGCATTTGTAAACTCAAGTCAATGAACTATGTCTAAGCAATGAAATGACATTTCTTTTAACTGTATGAAAAACAAAAGGATCAGTTTCCTACAACTCTGTTATGCTATTATACAATCCCATGTAGATTTTTGTTTCATGGGATCATTTACTTTGCCGGTCTTATACACCAAAACCTTGGACATAGCATGAATACTTCAACAAAGGAGCCAAATATGGAAAACCAGCACATATTGACTATTCCTTCTGAAAATAACATATTTAATTCCAAAATGAATTCAGAATTTGTTACATATTCAAGGACACACATCTAACATGCATTTGACATCTAGATTTGAGCTTTCTAGAATAGACCTAGACTATTAACATAAGAAAAAAAACAAAGTATGGATTTCAAACACTTGAAACATTTTTAGAAGAAAAATTCAGAAATAGAAAAACCAGGACATAAATTTTTTCTCGGCGGAAAACTGCCCCTGAACTGTAAAAACTGGGTTCCAATGCGACCCAGACCACATCGTCACATATTCGTAGAGAGCAAATGATCTTGTACCAAAAGGCACTAGAATTTTTTTTGTTAAGAGTCACTAAGGTTGAGAGAAAGACAAAAAAGAAAATACCAACCTTTCATTTCCTCTAAACCAGATTGCAACTGAGCCCTAGAAGCCTCCAGCATTCTGGATACCTAATCAAGGATAATGACAAAAAAAAAAAATTATGACAATGACAAAAAAAGAATTTATGTGGCCTTGAGTCCATGACACATATAACACCATTGCGTTGCAGTAATAGATCTCATGAGTTTCTTTGTGAAAAATAACACCAAAAGTATGGCTGACTTTGACTTTTTCTTCTCAAAACGTTGCATATAAAGGGCCAAAACTACATATATGGTCCATAATATAAAAGCAATTATAACATAGTGGTACAACACTAGAAGAGCTATCATAACATTTAGTAGAAAAGGATGTAGTTGGGGGTGTGATTAATTGTTTTCATGAAGAAAAATGTTTTCCTGACAACACGAGGCTGGTGGGCCCACAACACTATAGTGGTGTGGAGCAATCCCTTTTCAGATTCAAAACTTTAGTCAGCGAGTCACGACTCGTGTGTAAATGTGATATTTGTTGGATGAAACTGCCCATGATGCAAAGAAATCCTTTGCATTGTATAGAAACTAAAAGTCACTTCATTCTCAAATATAACTCAATGTTGTTGCAGTTAAAAGAAATTATGTTGAATATTTTTCCATTTTGGGAGTGGGGGTTAAGATACTAAACTAAAGGTTTGTCAAGAACAGATGGAAGGGCCATGTGAATGTTAGAATAAAATAATATCTAATAATGATATGAAGGGGCATGTGAATGTTTTCATCAAAAAAATTAATACAAGTTTACTTCCAATCAAATTAAAGCAAGAACTACAAATGTTCTAAACCAAAACTAGTTACCAAAATCGCTCGACGGATGCAAGACAAGAATATTAATTTTCTAGAAGTTTTAAGAGGGTCTAGGAAGTACATATATTTGCTTCATGTAATTAAGACTAGTTAAGTAAACTAGATGGTGCCATCAAATTATAATAAATGGACTGCGTGAAATGTGATTTATTATTATTATTATTTCAGTAATTGAAGCACGTGTAATACCAACAAGCCTGTGGCCTAATGGTACCAAGCCCCTACTTCCCAAAGGGAGGTTAGGGGTTCGAACCTCAGTGGAGGCATGTGTGTGTGAATACCAACTAGGAAAAAAAAAATTGAAGCGTGTGTAACAAAAGGACAAAAAACAAGTACATAAAATAACAAGACCCTAGGGGCCCATAAACAAACATGCCAGAAGCCCAAAGAAAGCCTAAATTAAAGCCTGAACAAAAGCAAAACACCAAGCACAAACCACTAGAAATCAGCCCACCTCAAATAGCCAACTAAATAACTACCACAGACAAGGGCAAGAAAAAAAATAGAAAAGCACCCAACAAGAACTGGGGAGAGATCGGGAAGTTACAGATCAAAAGATTAAAATAAATAAATAAATAAATAAAAAGATTTCTATCAATGGGGTCGAAAAAACGATTTGGGAGGTTCCAAGTTGTGGCAATGTCTTCTGCATAAGAGCAATTATGTCGCCTAACAGAGAAGAGGCAAAAATGAAATGTGATTTTAGATTAGGTTCTCACCAATTTTGATGTAATTTTAAGCATTTAATCAGTTTTATCCATATATCTTGATGAGTTGAATTGTTAGAATTGAAGCATACTGATGAAGGGTTCCTATACAAGACAAGAATACTATACCATAAGATTTTGAAAAGTTTTAGCAATTGAACCATGCTTTAATGATCATGGAATGACAATGATCTGATGTTCACTTACATCTTGGATTGGTTATCTCCTATAATTAATAGGTGTATACAAAATAGTTATATATATCTTGTAAAGAATAACCTGACCCATGCTCCCATTTAATAAATCAAAGGCTTTTTTTTTTTAATGATGCAGCAGAATGAGCAGGAAATTGGATGCATGTGTTGTTTACGTACATGCAGTGATGGGCATAAATATTAAGAGAAGAAAAGAGCCATGTATGAGACTGTAGAAAAAACACATTAGCTTCCATTGCTTACCTCACGGAAAGGACGGAGTGGGTTCTGGTTCTGTTGCGACATAGGGGATGTGGGCAATTTTGGGCCAGTAGTCACCTCTGTCCTGCAAGCACTGTTTTTCAAGAAAGTGGACATTTGAAGATTATAAAGCCGTGAAGCATGGAAGGTAGGTCTTCACTTGGTAATGATCCAAGCTTAGGGCAGTTACCGAAATATAGATCCTGAAGAGAGCTGAGATTTTGGAGGCCACCGCCCTCAGATGATATGGATTCCAGATTCGGCAGATCTTTGATGGATAATGAGGTTAGAGTTGCAGGAAGTAGACAGTACTTGAAGGAGACCAGCTCTGAATATCCACCTTCAATATGGAATTCTCAAAGGGAGGTGAGTTTGTGCAGACCCACTCTGACAAGGGCTTCAGTTTCCCGCAATAAAAGATAGAAAGACAAATAAGGACTCAAGACATGGACAATTATGTATTACAATGAATTTGAGGCTTTGAAGAATATGATCATCAAAAAATGACAACCGCCTCAGATTTGAGCAGTCCCAGATATAAAGCCATCTGAGGTTAGGGGTGGACAAGAAGTCCGGGATGGATTCAAGACGTGGACAATGCCAGATACTGAGGGATTCGAGGCTTTGAAGCATCTGGTTGGCGTAGCCAAGAATCAGAGATTCTCGCAATAGGAGATATTAAGTGATCTGAGGTTGGGTAAGCCTCTTTCTGGGAAGGACAAGCAGCATCCTCTTTATGGGAAGGACTCCACACTTGGACAACGAAATATACTTACGTCTTCAAGACTTTGAAGAATCTGATCAAAAACTGGCAATGACCTCAGTTTTGAGCAGGTTCTGATATCAAGCCATCTGAGATTGGGGGTGGACAAGCAGCCTCCTCTTTCTGGGAAGAACTCAAGACATGGACAATCACATTGAAATGGATTCGAGGCTTTGAAGAATCTGATATAAAAAAAATGACAACCACCTCAGATTTGTGCAGTAGCTGATTTGAAGCGATCTGAGGTTGAGGGTGGACAAGCAGCCTACTCTTTCCGGGAAGGACTCCAGACTTTGACATTCTTCTATTTGAAGGGATTCGAGGCTTTGAAGAATCGGAGATTTGGATGTAGGAAAGGATCGGAGATGCGCACAATAGCAGATACGAAGTGATGTGAGGCTGGGTAAGCCTCTTTCTGGGAAGGACAAGCACTCCACAACAACGCAATTACGGACTTCCAGTATTCTGAGGTTGGGTAAGCCTCTTTCTGGGAGGGACAAGAACTTCAGACCATCGCAATTATCTATTCTCAGGACAAGGAGACTGGCAAAATTATTATTATTATTTACGCACCCCCCAAATCCAAGTAGTCCACCCTTTGGCCAATTATCGATGTTTAACTCTTCAAGACCAGAGATGCCGTCAGGCAGGGACTTCAATGCATTGCAGTCCTGTATCCAAAGCTGTCCAAGCGCGGGCAGCATACCTGTGTATGTAAACTGCACAAGTTTTGAGCACCCACCAATCTTCAAAGATGTGAGAGATTTGAGCTTATTCAACTCATCTGGCAACGTCTCCAGATTCACACAGTGTGTTATAAGCATCTCTTGAAGATTAATGCAATGCAGCCCTTGCCACAAAGCCACAAGTTTGCTGCATTCACTAAACCCACCAAGGACTGCACCAATGCTTCATCCAGCTGAGATAGCCCTATAATATTCTCAACGTCCAAGATAGTTAGTGAGGTCACATCGACAATACTTTTTAGCACCACCTCCGGACACTTACTCAAATGTAATGTTTGAAGAGAGGGCAGCCTCAAACGTGAAACTCTAATCAACTTGGGACAACCATTTATAGTGAGCTCACAAAGGCAAGGAAATTGTCTTCCAGCTTCTTCAACGCCCAAAGAACAAGACCATTCTTCCCATGCCAGCATGTTCTCAAATATTAGAGTCTCCAGTGATGGAAAAGGAAGTCCTAAAGATAAACGATCCCCATAGAACTCAACCCCCAAATTTTGTACTTCATCCATGGCTTGAATGTGTAGCTCTTTGAGCATGGGTAGTTGCCCCAATGCTGGTAAACATCTGCATTTTCTACAGTCTACAAGAGTCAAGTTCACCATTTTAGAAAATGATGGATCGCCAATCCATCTTGTGAATTTGTGTCCCCATAAAATTTAATTGTAAGCCTTTCCAAGACTCCGTGACGTTGTAGCATGTGAAGTACATTCATTTCAAGGCTTTCATTTTGAAAATCGTTGAACTCACTATACCATGCCAACTCTAATTCTTCAAGGTCCTGCTTAGCCCTTAAATTCACCTCATTTGCCTCTTGAACATCCGATACGTTTTGCAACTCTATAATAGAAATCCTTCCCCGTAAATGCCTCAGATTCCTCAACTCTTTTAATCATGGCCCATTAGTTTTGCCCAAAACGAACTCTGCCAGTTCTTGGAAATTCGTCAATCTACCAATCCCGGAGCACCTCTCTCTTAATTGCACAATACGAGTAATGTCAAGATGGCGTATGTTAATTAAATTTCCAATATTTAAGGGCAACCCACAAAGTTGTTGGCAATTGCACAACAACAGTGTTTGTAAATTGTAGAGAGCAGTCACTGATTTAGGTAACCCTTTGATTCAATTGCCAGACAAATTACGATACTTTAGATGTTTCAAATCACCAATAGAGTCCAGTAGCTTAGTTATCGCATAACTAGACAAAGCCAGCACCCTTATACATTGTAACTTTGGAAATAAATCTAGCAAAACCTTGTTCTCTAAGTAGCCCTTTGAGGGCCCAACAATGGTAGAAAAGTAGGCAGTGCACTTTATAAAAACGCATTAACTTTTGAAGGACTTCATAATCTTAACGAATAAAGGACACGTGCTAAGCTTGTTCAAGAATTTCAAATTGCTTATCACCTTCCAACTTATCCAGCCTAAAGCATAAATCGCTAGCCACATGTAGAACTAGATCATTTAGAACATCATGCATCACAAACAAATCACCTGATTATTGAAAAAATAATTTTGATAATAGATCATCAAAACATTCATAGCAAAATCTTCCATTCCATTCTTTTCAGTTGATAACTGCAAAAGACCTACCGCCATCCGCAGCAAAACTAGATCATTTTTGTCAAACTCTTGGCCCTTAGGAAAAATTGCACAATAATTAAAGCATTGGTTCAGATGAGAAACTTTGTCAACACTAGCTCTACCCTCAACAACTTAAGTATGGCCTCTTTGTCATTCTCTCTGCCATAAACTTGGGATTTGTGCACCAAAGAAGTTGTAATATTTGAGATTTGAGATTGCCATAAACCCTAGGCTAATCTTTAGGGTTTCATTATCTTGCAATCGTTTGGTCATTTCCCCTGCTTTGGACATCAGATCCTTATCAAGATTAACAGCACTTACTAGGAGGAGTGGTGGTGACTTGAAATTATGCTTGAGAATAATCGAGCAAAACGTCCAGATCGTAACAACTCCGTGAGATCCTCCATCTACGATTTGACTCTCATCTGTGAATTGCTTCCCTGCTGCAATAACCAAAACAAGAAAGAGATGGGTGAATTTTTGAAAGATTGAGCAATACAATACCATAATCAACAAAGAGGGTTTGACAGATTTTCAATAGTCTTTGGTAAATTCAATACCAGAAAACGTACCTAGGTGGTTTTTTTTTTTTTTTTTTTTTTTTTTTTTTTTTTTTTTTTTTTTTTGAGATCCCCTCAATCTCCATGGATTGTTTGTGAAACCAATTAACAATAACCTAAACGAAGAAAGAGATTAATCAAAATTTGTGAAAGATGGGTAGGTTTGTGAAAGATTGAGCAGTACAATATTATAGATCAAAATGGGTTTTTGCTTGGACCTAATCAAATTTCAAGAGAGGAGGATTTTCAGTAGTCTATGGACATACTTCACCAGTTAAAGTAGGAGAAAAAACGGAGTAAATTCATAGCAAACGTATTTGACCGACTATCAGACTACTCGTTTATGTAGGGAAGCATTAACCATCTTTGATCTTCACCACTCATTTTCTTAGTCTGCGACGGGATCTCCTAGAAATGGCTCATATTGTACGACGCCGTTGAAAAGGGTTTGTTCTTTAAAAAGGGTAATTTAAGCGTGAAACGGTTATAATGGTAAATTATTATATATGCATAAATAAATAAATAATTAATTAAAATATGAATTTTCTTTCTGCGATTCTCTCTCTAGAATCATCTCTACCATCGCGCCTCCAACACCCTAACTCTCACTGTCGAAGGAAATAGATCAAAGTCTACTTAATTTGTGGTATCTTTTAATCTGTGTTTTCTAATGATGATAAACCCTAGTTCCACATTAATATGAATTTGCAATCAATCAATTGTTTTTAAGAGTATATCTACTAAGGCAATTTTCTTTGTGGTATTTCTCCTCTATGTTGATGATATACTCATTTAGGACTCTCTTTGAAAATTGTTACCGGATTTTGCCTAGATGTGCTTGATTTTGCGTATTCTTCTTATATGTTGAAGATTTAAGGTTCTTGATGAATATATATATATTTTTTTATGGATTTTGCCTATAGGGATTTTAGCATATAATATGACTTTTTTACTTTAAGTGAACTGATTTTTTTTATTATATTTTTTTTTTTTTCGGATTCTAGTTGTTTGAACATTTCTTTTTGGAATTTTTAATGAGATTTTTTTTTGGGTAAGATCTAGCTGATCATTCTATTTGGTTTGATGGTTCAATGAATTCTTGATTGGAAGCATGTAAAAATAAAATTATTATATTTTATTTAAAAATAAAGAAATAATTTGGAGAAGAAAACATCAAGGAATAATTTTTCAAAATGCACTTTGTCAAGTGTAATATCTCTCTTAAAATTGATAGTTATATACTTTTAGAAATTGGAAAGAAAATTATATTAGAGTTTTGATGAGTTTGGTGCGGTAGTTTCTAGATTTCCCTTTAGTCTCAGAATTCAGAAGTGTGTTAGAATTTTTAAAATGAAAGATTTTAAACTTTGCTAGCATGGTATGCAGATGTTGAAAGTGAGATCGAACTTCAAACTCATTTATTTTAATTATTGGGTACGATACCACCCAGGACTTGTAAATACCTATTTTGGATGGTAGAGCTCAAGCTAAGAGATATTCAAAAACTTTTGGATTTATGAATTCCAAGTCTAAATAATGCAAACCATGCATGCTGAAGGCTCTGCCTTCTTCTTAACAGAAAGTTACATGTCAATCGGGTTGGATGCCATTTCTTCATGATCCTATCTACTTTGGTTTTTTCCATTGCTTTTGCTTTTAATCCTTGAGACCAGTTTTGATTTTGGTTTTGATTTGCAAATTTGTTTTGTTATTTTTATATTTGATTTTCAATTTTACTCTTAATTGCTCTTTTGAAAAGAAAAATAAAATCATTGTATTTTTCTCTTAAAGCAAGTTGCCCCACTTTTTTTTTCCTCCACAAATTTTGGTTTTTCTGCTTTCTTGTGTGAAGAATTTCCGCACAAAGACAAAATTCTATTCCACTCTTATTCTTATTCTTTTTCTTTTTCTTTTTTTTTTCTTTTTTTTTTTTCCCGAAACTCTCATTCTTGCTCTCTGCTTTTGGTTTAGTTGGTGATGTTATGTTGGGAAGATGAAGATCCGTAAAAATAAAAATAAAAAAAAATTGTCTTGGATTAATCTTCTTCTTCTTTTTTTTTTTTTTTTTTGTAACATTGTTTTCTAATTTTTGTTTTTTAAAAATAAATTGGCAAAAGTATGCCTAGATAGATTTTGTATGAATATAATCAATACAAAAATATTTCCGGCTTAAATAATTTCATATGAGATGGTAAAATTGCTTAAATTTTGGTCCCCAACCATACAATTCGGAGTCCACCCATGATGCCATAGCTCAATCCTCAAGGGGCTCAAATCCTCTACTGTGAGTTACCCTGCAGTCTCCTGCTGTGAGCTGATGAAAGGCCTTAGTTTGGCCACGTGTGCTTCAGTTTGTAATATGTCTATGGGCTCCACTAAAATGGTGCAAAACACATTATTCCGTTAAATCTGCCTTCCGTTAAACATCCATCTCTCGGCATCTCTGAAAAAGCCCAAAAGAGCCGGCTTTACAAATTAATTGAGCCGTCTCCAAAAAATTGGGTTGAGCCGTCTCCACATTTCTTCTTGAGCCGGCTGTCCATTATTTTTTTTTTCTTTTATTTTTATTTTTTTTTTGCTTGGTAAGGAGCCGGCTCTAAAAATTCTGATCACATGAACTCTGATCACCTTCACCATCAAAATAAGCTATTGACACAGTTCTGTAAAACTAATTTCACACCTCTGTAAAACTAATTTGACACCTAAATTTAACATTTTTTAATTCTTTCATTTGTCATCTGTTAGTGTAAATTATGATATTTTTCTACTTGAAATTGACATTGGTTAAGCATTCTAGCATATTTGAAATGTTGGATAATTGTAGGATTTTTTTCTATAATCTTCAATAACCATTCTAGTGAATGTAAAATCTTACATAATTGTTTTTTTTAACTGAGTTGGTTTCATTAGGTACCAATTTGTTATCCAAATATTTTTTCTTCTCATGTATGCGGCAATTACACATTTCACAGGTTATTATGTGACATTTATGAGAAAAAATACATTGTGAAGTTTAATAAGTAGGGACATTGATTACCGTCACCATCAAAATAAGCTATTTACACAGTTCTACTAAACTAATTTCACACCTCTGCAAAACTAATATCACACTTAAATTTAACATTTTTTAATTCTTTCAGTTGTCATCCGTTAGTATAAATTATGATTTTTTTTTACTTGAAATTGACATTGATTAAGCATTCTAGCGTATTTGAAATCTAGCGTAATTGTAAGATTTTCTTCAATAATCTTCAATAACCATTCTAGTGAATGTAAAATCTTCCGTAATTGTTTTTTTTTTAACTGAGTTGGCTTCATTACGTACCAATGTGTTATCTAAATATTTTGTCTTCTCATGTATGCGGCAATTACACATTTCACAGGTTATTATGTCACATTTCTGAGAAAAAATACATTGTAAAGTTTAATAAGTAGGGACACTGATCACCTTCACCATCAAAATAAGCTATTCACACAGTTCTACAAAACTAATTTCACACCTCTGCAAAACTAATTTCACACCTAAATTTAACATTTTTTAATTCTTTCATTTGTCATCCGTTAGTGTAAATTATAATATTTATTTACTTTAAATTGACATTGGTTAAGCATTATAGTGTATTTGAAATATTGGATAATTGTAGGATTTTCTTCTATAATCTTCAATAACCATTCTAGTGAATGTAAAATCTTCCATAATTATTTTTTTTTAACTGAGTTGGCTTCATTAGGTACCAATGTGTTATCCAAATATTTTGTCTTCTCATGTATGCGGCAATTACGCATTTCACAGGTTATTATGTGATATTTATGAGGAAAAAAACATTGTGAAGTTTAATAAGTAAGGACACTGATCACCTTCACCATCAAAATAAGCTATTCACACAGTTCTGTAAAACTAATTTCACACCTCTGCAAAACTAATTTCACACCTAAATTTAACATTTTTTAATTCTTTCATTTGTCATCTGTTAGTGTAAATTATGATTTTTTTATACTTGAAATTGACATTAGTTAAGCATTCTAGCGTATTTAAAATATTCGATAATTGTAAGATTTTCTTCTATAATCTTCAATAACCATTCTAGTGAATGTAAAATCTTGCATAATTGTTTTTTTTTTAACTGAGTTGGCTTCATTAGGTACCAATGTGTTATCCAAATATTTTGTCTTCTCATGTATGCGGCAATTACACATTTCACAGGTTATTATGTCACATTTCTGAGAAAAAATACAGTGTGAAGTTTAACAAGTAGGGACACTGATCACCTTCACCATCAAAATAAACTATTTACACAACTCTGCAAAACTAATTTCACACCTAAATTTAACATTTTTTAATTCTTTCATTTGTCATCCGTTAGTGTAAATTATGAATTTTTTTTTTCTTGAAATTGACATTAGTTAAGCATTCTAGCGTACTTGAAATCTTGGTTAATTGTAGGATTTTCTTCTATAATCTTCAATAACCATTGTAGTGAATGTAAAATCTTCCATAATTGTTTTTTTTTTAACTGAGTTGGCTTCATTAGATACCAATGTGTTATCCAAATATTTTGTCTTCTCATGTATGCGGCAATTACACATTTCACAGGTTATTATGTCACATTTATGAGAAAAAATACATTGTGAAGTTTAATAAGTAGGGACACTGATCACCTTCACCATCAAAATAAGTTATTCACACAGTTCTGTAAAACTAATTTCACACCTCTGCAAAACTAATTTCACACCTAAATTTAATATTTTTTAATTCTTTCATTTGTCATTCATTAGTGTAAATTATGATTCTTTTTACTCGAAATTGGCATTGGTTAAGCATTCTAGCGTATTTGAAATCTTGCATAATTATAGGATTTTCTTCTATAATCTTCAATAACCATTATAGTGAATGTAAAATCTTCCATAATTGTTTTTTTTTTTTTAACTGAGTTGGCTTCATTAGATACCAATGTGTTATCCAAATATTTTGTCTTCTCATGTATGCGGCAATTACACATTTCACAGGTTATTATGTCACATTTATGAGAAAAAATACATTGTGAAGTTTAATGAGTAGGGACACTGATCACCTTCACCATCAAAATAAGCTATTCACACAGTTCTGTAAAACAAATTTCACACCTTTGCAAAACTAATTTCACACCTAAATTTAACATTTTTTAATTCTTTCATTTGTCATCCGTTAGTGTAAATTATCATTTTTTTTACTTGAAATTGACATTAGTTAAGCATTCTAGCGTATTTGAAATCTTAGTTAATTGTAGGATTTTCTTCTATAATCTTCAATAACCATTCTATTGAATGTAAAATCTTCCATATTTGTTTTTTTTTTTAACTGAGTTGGTTTCATTAGATACCAATGTGTTATCCAAATATTTTGTCTTCTCATG